GGTGTCATGATAACCAAGAGGCTGTGAAGGAAGATAAGGAGGTCACCTTGACACACCTGTCTGAGTCTCGTACTGTGGAGACGATGTCCTCACAAGGTGAAGATCCTCCACTCTTATCTGTCATGTCTTCGTGTTGTTGTTGTTACTTTGATTCATTAGAGTCAGGGGCATACTAGAATCTCCTTCGTGGGGCATACACGGGAGCCTCCACAGGCTCTTCAGGCTCAGGGGCGGAGTATCGGGGCCTGGGTGCTGTGTATTCGTAAGACTCATCAGACTCATCAGACTCATCAGACTCATCAGACTCGGGGTATTGAGCCTCACCCTCGTACTTGACCTCGGCCACGTAGCCTGAGTCACCGTCCACGTAGTAAGTCACAGTCTGGAGACGACCGTCGGGAAGCTGCACAGAGTACGACCCCTTGGTGTTGTCACCATCACGGGACTCTTGGTGACCGAAGTCGTTGCCGGAGTCCTCGTCCTTCACTGACCAGTCAAAGTCGTATTTGGCCTCGGTAGATTCTGCTGAATATTCATCTGATTCCTCGGATTCCTGGAAAAATATATAGATTCCTTATAAGTGTTCTGCAGTTCTGGTTTTACATACTACATTAAAAAAATTCCGTTTTAAACAGTAGTTTTCAGAGTCAAACATCACCTAACAGAGATAATGAAAATGTCCATCTTGAACTGAAACATCACCATCTCCCTTCTTATGACAACTACGGCAAATGAATATCTTATATATGTATGTTGGCATCTTCCTGGACGGACATATTACCTGAGAGGAGTCGTAGTTGTATGATGGGCGCCTGTCAGCAGTAGCCACGGCCACTACACCCAGCAGGAGGAGAATCTGAGGAGAAAAAAGCATTCGATATTATTAATGAATCTTGGTTACAATCAAAGGAAAAAATATATATCGAAATTTAGATGACTAATTTACAATAATCTGTATAATTTACTATAATTAGATGAATTATCCATATATGGCTCCTCTGTAGGTTACCTTAGTGTTCATGATAGTAGTAGAGCTGTAGAAGCAATGATGCCTCTCGGTGGCTTCTCCCGCGTATATATACCTTACTGGCTTTTGACGTCACACACCACTACCACCCCGCGACACAGCTGTTTTTTGTCAAGCATCACAAGAGGGACTCAGCCACTCCCAGACCTTCACATCCTAACTTTAACAAACGTAGCTCTATTTTCTTGAGGTTATGTGAAATCTCTTCCTGTATTTTTCTTTTTCACTAAAACACAAACATCAATTGTAACTTTTATGGAAGCGTTTAAAAAATAAAATTAGTTGTTTATGAACATTAAAACTAATTTTGTTATGAGGAGGAAAAGGTGAAGGACTTTATGAGTGGATTAATTAGTAGCTCAGGTGGAGGTAAACATTAATTAGTGAGGTTTATGGTTTAAAATATCCCCCAAGAACAGATTCACAATACCCTCTTCGTCAGTGCCTTATCAAGCTTACGTCTGCTGGAGGAAAGATTACTGTGCCGTCAGAATCTTCCATCTTCACAACTGTTGATACCTTTCTTCCTCTCCCTTCTTCTCATCTCTTTCGTAACCTTTTCAACCACATCTCTCCATCCTGCCTATCACTGGTATTTCCCGCACCTCCTCTTACTACACTTTCTTCTCTACCCTTCAGTATATACCCTGACCACCTCAGTCTTGGTTCATTGATTCACTCGTAATATGTTCGCTTCTATAACGTAAAGGACAATTACATACATACACACACACACACACACACACACACACACACACACACACACACACACACACACACACACACACACACACACACACACACACCTGCCTGCCTGTTTCATTACAGAATCGAACAAGTGAAAATGAACTGAAGAGATTTTTTTTCACATACGAATCTTGGTATTTAATTATACAGGAAATTATTGCCAGGATATTCAACGGGGTTCTTGCTTTATGGTTATGTCTACACAGGCAGTGTATTAAGAGACCCTGAGACCATTATTTTCTACTTTTTTTTTCCTCCCTTGAACGTAAATAAGTCCAAGGTAATTTATCTGTTTTTGCGAAGTATAAGGCTGAGCTGTTTTCCTTAATGTGACATGACTTATTGGTTATCTCTCTCTCTCTCTCTCTCTCTCTCTCTCTCTCTCTCTCATTTCCTATTTTCATATCCCCTTATCTTTTTTTTTCTCTACTTATCTAACTTTCTATTTATTCCTCTGTCTATCAATCTATTAATCTATCAATCTATCTATCTTTAGTCTCAAGTATCAACCAACAATAAACCAAACACCATCATGTGTCAACCTTGTATCATCTGTTAGCACTGTGGGTATTTTATTATCTTGTGGGATCCAGCCAAGAGCGTAAGGCACATTAACATTAAGCGATTTACCTACAATACATAGTGCAGTATTTGATAACATCCCCGTCACGGTGAGGTCGGAGGAAGGCCTGGCTCACATCTGTCAGTGTGTGTGTGTGTGTGTGTGTGTGTGTGTGTGTGCAGGAGGGAGGGGAGGAGGAGAGAGAGGAAAGAAGGAGGAGGGGGAGGCAGGTGGGAGGAAGGAGGGTAAGATAGAGGGGGGTGGGCGTAGAGTGAGGCAGAGAAGATGGTGAGGAGACAGATAGTGGGTAGGAAAGAAAGAGAGTGAGGCAGGAATTAAGGAGGGATGGGATGAGGAATGGAGGAGAGTGAGGCAGGGGTTGAGGAGGGAGGGAGAAGAGTGAGATAAGGAGTGAGGAGAGAGGGATGGAAGAGAGTGAGGCAGCTCAGTGAGTCAAGGCTGGCTGGTGGGACACAGGCCCGGGGCACTGCTCTACATACTAACAAGGCAAAACACGAGTGAACTACCTCTTCCGCTCTGTACTTTCTTTTATTCACCGTCGAGTAGGCCATTAACTGACTCATTAGACGTTTCTTTAATGTATATAAAGAATATAATCGTGACTTATTCCCATTAAGTTGTACATAAACTATAGGAAGTTGACCTCCAAAGGCCAGCCAGTGCGTGTGAAGAAACACCTCATTGGTCCAGCTCTACACCAGGCCAGTGTACGCACGAGGGTGTGGTGCTGCCGGGGGAGGTGTGGCGGAAGTTCCCTGTATCGTACATTAATAACTATACCGTGAAGGATGAATAACCAGACGAAACAACTGTGGAGAGACGCTTCCTCCTATGATAACGACGCCTCTTGTGCTTCTCCTGCTGTGTTGCTCCTATAAAGTATGGAAACACTAACACACACACGACCTTCTCCCTAACCCATAACCCTCTCCCCCACCCCTACGACCCCCAGGTAACGTTGCTTAATAGTCACCAATCCATAGTGCCACGACCCCCCCCACCTCCCCACTCACTTATGATCCTTGACTGTGTTTACAATATACCTGACCGCTCGTAGACGTCACCACAGAGTAATATATTGTAATGACCCCAGCGAGGACAGGAGGGGGGAGGGGGTGGGAGAGAATCTAATGTTGTAGCCTTCTTCATCATCACGTGGTTGTAGGTGTGGATGTGGGTGTGGATGTAGGTGTAGGTGTGGGTGTAGGTGTTGGTGTAGGTGTGAGTGTAGGTTAGGTGTGAGTGTGGGTGTGGGTGTAGGTGTGGATGTGGGTGTGGATGTTGATGTAGGTGTAAGTTCCTCATAAATGCGAAAATTAAATCACACCTGTTGAAGTTAGTATTTATATTTGATTCTAATATAACTATTACCTTCTTCTTTACAGTATTAACTATATGTTCAAACTCTTTATCATTCTCACACATCTACTGACTAGTTTTTATAATATCTTCATTATCTCCTCTAAGGCCATAATCTTGTATGTAGTGAATATTTGGTATTATTTTATTGTTAAATTTTATGGCTTCATCTATATTTATAATTTATTTCATGATGAATTCTGAGTAGATATGAGATAATGTTTTTCCTTAAATTAATTTGTGTTTTAGTGAGAAAATGATTATAAGTGTGTGTGTGTGTGTGTGTGTGTGTGTGTGTGTGTGTGTGTGTGTGTGTGTGTGTGTGTGTTTTAAGGTCAACCAGTATTGCAGTGATAGGACGATTATAAACTTGTTATACTGTATATGTATTTGTCTCTCTAATAGCTGTTATACTTGACTAAAATTGACACTTACAAACTCACACTAAAATACTCATGACCCTTAACTGTTTCACTTAATGACTGACTCCTGTATATTTACCTGCATGTAACTGTATTATGGATGGATTTCAGAATAACATCTCACATCCGTCTTCTTATCTGAGGACAGTTACGTATCTGAACCAGGAACTTGATATTTTTCTATATAAGATAAAATATTTCTTACCTCATGAGAAGGCCAAAAAAAGTTGAGGTGGAATATGTGTTATGAAATATAACTGCTTCCGTCTTTAAATCCGCTCTATGCCCAGGAGTTGTAAGGTTCCGACGTAATTGTTCCTCTGCTTATATTCGGGGCTTCTGGGATGTTTCGTTGGTTCTTTTCGTAAAATAAGATTGTCATGGGTTCGAGTCTTGGCCCGGACACACTTGAGAAGGGTGTTATCTAGTGTGACCCTCAGTACCATACATCACCCTGTTTCCCCCTGTACTAACACCGAGCAATAAAGTTTATAAGAAAGTAACAAAGGACAGACCAACTTCCCGAACGGCTAGTGGTGAAATGATGAATTAATGGAGTAATGGCGTCAGAACTCGGAGCTCCCGGCCGTAGATTAGTGTTAAAGGCGGAAAAAAAGGTAAAAAAACAAAAGAAAAAAAATTACGAGAAACATTTTCCTCGTTAACTTTTTGGGGTTCTCATGAGACATGTCGGTCAAGTTGCTGCTTGAGAGGCACAACTGTCCTCCAGTGTTACCGAGCTCTTTATATATAACGTCTCCAAAGGACTTTAAGTATAAACTAAATACATGAGTAAAGTGTTCGCCCCCCAACAACAAGGCTGGTCTCTGTCTGTGTACATTGAGGAATAACATAACACAAGTATTGTCATTCATTTATTTGATAAATGTAAGTTTGAATAAATAGGACATAAATAATTGATGTGTCTGTGAGAGTATTTACACTTCCACTCATTAGATCTGTGAAGAGTGTGGTAGGTCATGCCGAAAGGAATGGGAGGTAGGGTGACTAGTTTGACTCATTAGAGTCGGGGGCGAAGTAGCGGGGCCTGGGTGGGGCATATTCCCTAGACTCATCGGAGTCGGGGTACTGAGCCTCACCTTCGTAGCTGACCTCAGCTACGTAGCCTGAGTCACCATCAACGCGGTAAGTAACCCTCTGCACACGACCGTCGGGAAGGTTCACGTAGTACGACCCCTGGGCGTTGTCGTTGTCGCGGGTCTCCTGGTGGTTGAACTCGTTACGGGATGGGTCATCACTGACGGCCCATTGGTAGTTGTACTTAGCCTCAGTAGACTCAAAAGACTCTGCTGAGTAACCCTGAAATTATAAAAAAAAATATGATAAGTATTTTTTGATATATTGACTTAATTAAGCTATATAAAAATGCAAAGGAATCTATAGTATATTCAACCGACTTTAGATCATGTATCAACTGACTGGAGGATATAGACTAACAATAATATTAATGATTCTGCTGCAATAATATTAGATAAATAAGTCTATTACGGATACATTGATTATTAACATTATCTCGGTGTCATATTATCAAAACTATAAAACTTATGACCCAGGTTAAAAAACTAGTTTATTATATCAGAGACTAAGGTGTGTAATGAACTTTATATGTAATGGTAATAATAATATTATTTTCTTCAGTTGCACTCAGAAAATTCCCCATGTAGTGTGTCTTTCCATGTTACATTATACTGTGACATAGGAAAGTAGATTAACTTTTCATATTTGAAAGGAAGGAATTCACGACTGAAGTGACTCACACGAGGGGCAGCATAAGAGAAGGTTTCCCGGCTGTGGCTGTCTGCTGCTGCCAGAGCTGCCACGGCCAAGACGATCAAGATCTATATGAGAAAATTGACACGTGTAACAGCAATGTGTTTATAATGTTGTTCATCACAGTTTTTATTTCAGTACATAAATGTAACCGTGTAAATGTTTCATATTCACCTTAGTGTTCATGTTGCTGGTAGAGTTGTCAAGAGGAACTGACTGTCGGTCTCTATAACGCTCACCAATATATAGGTGGAGGTGTGGCGCCCCACCTCTGCCAGGGACAAGTTTTTGTGTAAGATTTAACAACGTCTCTGTAACAATTTGGTTCATTTAGATTTCAGCGGGTTTTGAAGGTTAAGTTGTGACATATTTTGACCTGAGTTATATTGTTTTATCTAATAGGACAAAGAACTCAAAATATTAAGTAAAAAGGAAAAATCACTATACTTAGTTTAAGAATAATTAGGACAGCTATGCAAGTGTCATCGGGTGTTGCTTGAGAGGCCCTCCCAGTGCTGCGAAAGTACAGGGCAGAGTATAATTATATGCTGCTGTAAGTCTAATTATCTGCTAACATCACCACCTGTAATTGCTACCGTAATTGCTGTTATCATATACTAGTACTCAAGGTAATGGAACAATGATTACTGGTGAGAATTCCCAGGTAATCAAAGTTAAATATCTACTCAATTAAACTGGTTTCCATTGTAACCCAAATAAACAAACAAAACAATTAGAAATATTTTGTTTATTACAACCACAACACTTGTACAACCTCTAACTTATACAACCACAACACCTCATGAATCTACAACTATAACAACCACAACACCTGAAGAATCTACAACCAACACAACCACAACATCCTGAAGAACCTACAACTATTACAACCACAACACATGAAGAAACCTCATTACAATACAACAACAACAACGCAGTGAAGAATCTACAACAAATACAACTACGACAGAGCCTCTGGATTTCTTGATCTCGTTGTCTCATTATCTCGTTGTCTCATTGTAGTCTCTGATAATCTTGGAGTCAACTCTTTCCTGATTCTGTCTCCCCCGTGTACTGTCGACTGAATCAACACCAACAATATATAAGATAACTTTTCCTTTTCTTTTGCATTTTTTTTTATTGGTGATGACCGAACAAAGGGTAAACAGAAACGTATACCCCAGACAATATAACTTTTATTCAATCTCATGTGAAATACGTGGGATGTACAGTCGCTTGCAATTATACCTGGTACAGTGGTTGACACGTTTTGTGAGATGTGGCATCACTGTGGAATGCTTATTTAGCATCCTTAGTCTGGCTATTATTCAGGGAGTTTTAATACCATGTAAACAAACACAGAGTTGCCACATCTCACAAAACGCATCAGTCACTGTATTAGGTATAATTGCAAGCGACTGTACATATAAAAATTACAACCTTTATAAAAATACCACAAACCTTCATCAAACCATCATAATAATCCCCATTAATTCTATATTTTGTTTATTACGATGCAGTAAGGAGGGATCAAGAAGTGACCTTAATATGACCTACTAATACTCAAGCTTACATGAAGAAAATGGGATGCACAAACAAGCATTACCGTACGCTATGTGATGTAAGAGAGTTACTATCCTTGACCGTCATACCGCTAGTCTCTTTCATTAGAAATTTGTAGTCCTGTTTTTCCTCTCACCAGAAACAGTGTGGGTGTGGTTCTCCTTTACTGAACTCAACCCTACCCTTGATGCACTCTCTCTCTCTCTCTCTCTCTCTCTCTCTCTCTCTCTCTCTCTCTCTCTCTCTCTCCCCCTTCTCTGTCTGTCTGTCTATCTCACATACTTCGTGAATCAAGGAACATTACTGGTTATTTAATAGTTTTGTTTTTACTCTGAACTGAGAAACTGAAATACTGTAGTCTTAGTGTCAAATCTGTTATATTTCTAATTTTTCTCAACTTATTATTTTTTGGTGATTAAACACTTCAATAGCAATAGACTTTAAGCCCAATTTACTAAACCTAATTCCTATACTGAATAACATAAATTTTTTAAAGGTTAATAAACGTAGACTATGCACTTTCTCCTTACAAGCAAGAGTTGGCTCTACTGTCGTGTACCGAAAAAAATTAAATGATCTTTCTGTGTATATGAGCTAAATCAATTATATTGACCTCGGTGGCGTGATAGTATGATGTGCAATTATCTAACTGATAATTTGTTAAGTCCCTGATATCAACCTCACACTGACCCTCAAGATCACCTGTTATGTAGAGTAACGTTGTCATTCTTGCCCACACTCATTCTTACAAGTAGCAATTCTGTTGGTTAATTTTATAATATTTCTTATATTAAAGTATTATAATATCTAGGACTGAAAACACTCTTAGTAAATGTTTTAAAATAGCTTAAATAATTCATATTTTACTATGCTTTTAATGTTACCTGTTGATAGCATTATGTAATAGTCTTAAGAACAGATATAAACAATAATGTATACCTTTATTCCTAAGTGTTTCAGACAGTACACAAAAAAATAAAACAAATGAAGAATTTTCGCTCGGGAATTTCAACTATGCGTTTTTATTTTTTTTTATTTTTTTTTTAGACAAGTCGATCATAAAACTCAGAAAAGGTTAGAAGGAAAGTGAAAACGAGTAAGTTTCTGACCTTTTAAAATACACACTAGTTCACAAGTACTGACGTGTTACGGAGATATTACTAATTATTTGGTGAAAACTTGCCCCTGACCGAGACCGGGCCCATTGCATCACCATACTGTATATAACAGACATCGCTGGTGTAAGGATCAGTGTGCTCCCTGGGACAACCACCGCTGGCAAGATGAACATCAAGGTGAGTACTGGAACTAATCTACCTCCTGGTGAACAACATTAATGATAGAAACTGAATTAAGGTCGGTAGTTCTTGTATAAACTAACTATTATTTCATCGTTTTTCTGTTCCCTGGCAGTTCTTGATTGTAGTGGGCGTGGCGGCCCTGGCAGCAGCCGAGAGACTGGAGACCTACTCTTACGCCGCTCCTCAGGTGAGTATCGTCACTGATCACTGTATATCACTACCATGTTAATGCCCCAATACACTGTTTGACGGCCATATTTGTTGCTTAAAAGACACATTGTTAAGTACTTAAGTGGTGCAGTATTTCGCTTCTTACACAGTGTGAGGACCCCATGGTATGTCTCGGCTCCTTAACTATTCTAATTCTTGGATTCTCTCTCTTACAGGAATTATCGTCTGAGTCTGTGGAGTCTGTGGAATCTGTTGAATCTGTGGAGTCAGTTGAGGCACAGTACAATTTCAACTGGGCAGTCAATCGGGAGTCAGCAAACAACGAGTTCGACCACCAGGAGGCTCGGGAGGACGACAACACCAAGGGGTCGTACACCGTGCAGCTTCCCGACGGTCGTCTTCAAAGAGTGACTTACTACGTGGATGGTGACTCAGGCTACGTGGCCGAGGTCAGCTATGAGGGTGAGGCTCAGTACCCCGAGTCTGATGAGTCTAGGGAATATGCCCCACCAAGACGACAATACTCTGCCCCCGATTCAAATGAGTCGGATGAGTCTCGTGAGTATTCTCCACCCAAGCGACTCTACTCTGCCCCTGAGTCAAATGAGTCAGAAGAGTCTCGTGAGATTCGTAAATACATTCCACCTAGGCGACTCTACTCTGCCCCTGAGTCAAAGGAATCAGAGGAGTCTAGGGAGGCTCCAACGTACACCCCACCCAGGCGACTCTACTCTGCTCCTGAGTCAGAAGAGTCAGAGGAGTCTACAGAGGCTCCATTCCCACCAAAGCGACTCTATTCAGCCCCTGAGTCAAATGAGTCAGAAGAGTCTCGTGAGTCACGTAAGTATTCTCCGCCCAGGCGACTGTACTCTGCACCTGAGTCAGAAGAGTCAGATGAGTCTACGGAGTCTCCATTCCCACCAAAGAGACTTTATTCAGCCCCTGAGTCAAATGAGTCAGAAGAGTCTCGTGAGTCTCGTAAATATTCTCCGCCTAGGCGACTCTACTCTGCATCTGAGTCAAAAGAGTCAGAGGAGTCTAGGGAGGCTCCTACGTACACTCCGCCCAGGCGACTCTACTCTGCTCCTGAGTCAGAAGAGTCAGATGAGTCTACGGAGTCTCAATTCCCACCAAAGAGACTTTATTCAGCCCCTGAGTCAAATGAGTCAGAAGAGTCTCGTGAGTCTCGTAAATATTCTCCGCCTAGGCGACTGTACTCTGCACCTGAGTCAAATGAGTCAGAAGAGTCAGATGAGTCTACGGAGTCTCCATTCCCACCAAAGAGACTTTATTCAGCCCCTGAGTCAAATGAGTCAGAAGAGTCTCGTGAGTCACGTAAGTATTCTCCGCCTAGGCGACTGTACTCTGCACCTGAGTCAAATGAGTCAGAAGAGTCTCGTGAGATTCGTAAATACACTCCACCTAGGCGACTCTACTCTGCCCCTGAGTCAAAGGAATCAGAGGAGTCTAGGGAGGCTCCAACGTACACCCCACCCAGGCGACTCTACTCTGCTCCTGAGTCAGAAGAGTCAGAGGAGTCTACAGAGGCTCCATTCCCACCAAAGCGACTCTATTCAGCCCCTGAGTCAAATGAGTCAGAAGAGTCTCGTGAGTCACGTAAGTATTCTCCGCCTAGGCGACTGTACTCTGCACCTGAGTCAAAAGAGTCAGATGAGTCTACGGAGTCTCCATTCCCACCAAAGAGACTTTATTCAGCCCCTGAGTCAAATGAGTCAGAAGAGTCCCGTGAGTCTCGTAAATATTCTCCGCCTAGGCGACTGTACTCTGCACCTGAGTCAAAAGAGTCAGATGAGTCTACGGAGTCTCCATTCCCACCAAAGAGACTTTATTCAGCCCCCGAGTCAAAGGAATCAGAGGAATCTGCGGAGGCTCCAACATACACACCACCCAGGCGACTCTACTCTGCCCCTGAATCAGATGAATCAAATGAATCACGAGAAAATGCTTTACCAAGGCGTCGATATTTTGTCCCTGAGTCAGAGGAGTCAGTTGAGTCTACAGAGGCTCCAGTTTACACCCCACCAAAGCGACTCTACTCTGCTCCCGAGTCAGTAGAGTCTCTTGAGGCTCCTGTGTATGGACTACCGAGTCGAAACTATTTGGTCCCACATTCCAATGAGTCGTAAAAAGTCACCAATATTAATGTGTGTGTGTGTGTGTGTGTATGTGTGTGTGTGTGAGTGTGTGTGTGTGCGTGTGTGTGTGACAATATCCCACTAAACCTATTTATTTATATCTATACTTACTGAACTAAATGCAATATGTATAATTATTTTCTGTATTTTATTTCTCACGATCATCAGCTGAAGATACCTAAGAGAATTATCATACAGGTGTGGATTAATACATAAGACTACCTATTTAAGGAGACTTATCTATATATCAAATTTATAGTATAGCGAATAGCAATTTTGTATTCCCATTTAAAATAAGTATTGTATTGTAATTTGTTTTCTCTTAGAACTTCAGTGAACACAAATAGATTACCTGTTAGTTAAGAATCCTGTAATCTATTTTAATGTACCAGAATAATGTTCATGATACGTGTATTTACAAGAGAGATTCATGTGAAGTGTACCATTTAAATCACAGCTCTATAGGCCGGGAGTTTACATAGCTAGTCATTGCTCATTGCTCAGATAGGAAGAGCTCCACCACTAGTAATACTAATATGGCACTGCATGTATGAGCCCCTTAGTAGCTCAGTGAGTATTGGGCGTTTATTGATAAAAGTAACCCAATTCAGGTATTAAAATCGACGCCCACCGCCCGAGCTGACTATACCCAGTGTCAGCAGATTAAATAAAGCTAACTCAAGTAAACTGTGTGATTTAGTAAACCAGAAATATAATAAAACACAAAATACAAACATAAACAGAACAAAGTGAACATGAATTATGAAGACTAAAGGAAACTTACTTTAGAAACACAGAAGCTCTAAGGAAGTCTGGTGGCTTACTGAGGAAGGTCTATCCTTAATAGTCAACAGAGACGCAATCATCAGCTGTTGTGTAAAGTTGTGGCGGTTGGTGACGACTGTACAGGAGTTTATAATTTTTATTGTCATGTTAAAAAATAAACTAAGCTCTTCAGAATTTAGGATGTATTATTTAGTAGGAAAACCACAACGAGAGTGACTCACACGAGGGGCAGCATAAGAGGTTTCCCGGCTGCGGCTGTCTGCTGCTGCCAGAGCTGCCACGGCCAAGACGATCAAGATCTGCAACAAAGAAATACTGACAGTAGTGTTTATATATTGCTTGATAACAATAATGTTTACAAATATTTGACTGTGTACACCATTATCACCTAAGTGTTCGTGTTACTTGTGGTGTTGCCAAAAGAACGGAGTGTAGGTCTCACACGCTAAGAGGGCGGGTGGTGTGACCCACCTCCGCGAGCTACAAGTTTTTGTGTGAAATTTGCCAATGATTCTGTAGCAATTTAGTACAATAGGATCTTTGCAGGGCTTTGAAGGTTAAGTTAGGCCATAATCATATTCATCCCTTCTGCTCTACTAAGTAAGAGCTTTATTGTGGAGGGCGTGGCAGGTGTAGTAGCGGCAGACACTCACCCAGACACCACACCTTTGGCCCCTCCTCATCTACTATAAGTATGTCAGTAGTCTCACAATTACAATAATGTTGACTCCACTAGTCTGATTCATATACCTGTTTAAAGTCAGTGTGAATAATCTTTATTAATAAGCATCACCTTCGAGAAATCTTGGACGTCTAATGAAACATAATTTAGCAATTCAATTTTCAGATCATGATAATAAATTATTCCTATTTTTCTCGTGTATAAAGTAAAACTTATACCATGAGTTACTATACAGTATGCAAGGTGATTCAGGCTACAGTACGTGACCGAGGTAAATATCGAGGGTGAAACTGACGACCACAACTGTAAAGAAAGTCAGGTCCTATGCCTCCCAGACTCCAAAAAGCAACCTCAAACGCCTGGGAACTTCGTCAGATTTATCAATTATATTTATCAATCAAGATCAGTACCACGATGAACTAAACTCCTGTAGAGTAAACAAATGAAGAGTGAAATAACAAGTGTTTAAGTGAAGTGATGATTATAAGTTGGTAAAATAATAAAAATACTAGTAGAATTTAATCATATTTCATTTGTTGATTTAACCATTGATGGAAAATCTTTCATACACCCTAATAAAATTAATTCCTATTTAATTATTGATACTATTTAATTTACTAGTGTTTTAGATTTATTTTTACAATATAATTACTATAAAAAACTAATGTATATGAAGTAATGGGTTGAGTAATGTGCCATATGTGATCCTAATAAATATGACTGGTTAATTTTCAATTGATCTAACTGTTGGTATACTGATGTAATAGTAAATGTGAAATTATTACGTAAAGGAAATGCCTCTGATGTACACTAAGAAATATTTGGGTCATGCTGCATTCACGTTAGAGTCACACACACACACACACACACACACACACACACACACGTCTTAATCGAAGTTAATAAAGCTATTTAAAATTATTCGGAAGACAGAAGATAATCTTATTATTTTCATTATTGCATATTATATTAAATACATTTGTATCTTCCACAACAAATACAGTTGTGCCATGAGTCAGTATAGCTATCAGGAGGGATAACGGCGGTGATTACTTTTACTCGTTGGAGCCATGGTAAGAGCGGGGTTTGGGTGGGGCATAGACGGGAGCTTCGTGGGACTCCTCTGACTCCTGGGAGAAATAGCTGGGCCTGGGTCGGGCATACTCCCTAGTCTCATGAGAGTCGGGGTAATGAGCCTCACTCTCGTATTTGACATCAGCCACGTAGCCTGAGTCACCGTCCACGTAGTAAGTCACAGTCTGCAGACGACCGTCGGGAAGCTGCATGTAGTACGACCCTTGGGTGTTGTCACCGTCGCGGGTCTCCTGGTGCCCGAAGACGTCTCCTACATACTCGTCCTTCACAGCCCAGTCAAAGTTGTCCTTAGCCTCACCAGACTCAAACGACTCGGCTGAATAAGTCTTGTCGTGAAGTAAACAATGAAATTATTATTTTTGTGATGAAGTCATCCAGAAGTATCACAATAAGGTCCCAGCTATATTTTACAATATATAATATTTCAGTTATAGTGAAAGATGCGATTTAATTTAAAAAATATATAAAACTCGAAAATTTGCGATTGGACTGACTCACCCGAGGGGCAACATAAGAGTAAGTTTCACGGCTGTGTGGAGCTGTGGCCACTCCCAGCACGATCAAGAAAAGAAACAATAACATGGTAAAAAGATTGAATGTTCGTACAATTGATTGATCAAGATCTTTTCATGTTGGGTAAAGGTCACTGCAGGAGTGTGTTGATAACCTGTGTGTGCATGGTGCTGTGTTGCTGTCACGAGGAACAACTGACTGTTTGAGCCTCCGGCGCCACATATTTCATACTGTACTTGGTAGCGGGGAGGCCAAGGGCAAGTTTTTCCTCGTGCTTGACAATGACTCTGAAATATTATATGACGTGACATTTTTTATCCGGTTTAGAAGGTCGTATGATGACACATATTTTTTCCTTTGTGTTATAATGATTACACGTATTCACATTATATAAAGGTCATCACGAGAAAAGAAGAAGATATAATGTACTGAATATATATAATGAAGTTGGCGTTAGATAATGAAAACAAACTAGGTAAATTAAAATACTAGACAGGGAAGATATTTGGAAGAGAAATAAATTTATTACCAAAAAAAAACCAAGAGAAAAAAATAACAATAAAATATTAGGATATATCTCAGAAAAGAAGAGAAAATAGAGAAAGAAATGAGAGAGCTATACTGTACCGAACACCTATTTCACGAAGCAGCTGGATGAGGCAGAACCTACCTGCTGAGGAACTAGTGTGAGTGAATAGTATACAGGAGAGATAAGACTTGGTGTAAATAACCTCAACAATGGTAAAACAACAGAGGAAGATAATATCACCGTTGAAATACATAATATAGAAGAGGAAGTAACTACAGAATGGGTGGCAAGAATGTGTATGTTATGTAGGACAGACGGACAAGTACTAAGGTCATCGTAGTCTGAGCTAAGTCATCGTAGTCTAGGGGGGTTAAGTCATCATAGTCTTGGGGTTAAGTCATCGTAGTCTAGGGGTTAACTCATCGTAGTCAAGGAATTAAAGGCTATTTCAATCAAGTTTTCGTCTTACAATAACAGTTAAAAGTATCTTTCTCGATTTTTAATTATGTTACTAGATCACATAATTTTACTACATGTGTCACAATACTTCACAAAATTACTAGTAATAGAAACTGATATGCTAAAACGAAAATCAGCCAAATCTGACTACAACATCTGACGTGTGAGTTGGAACATATGGTGGTGTTTACTGGCTTCTGTGGTCTGTCTGTCTGTTTGTCTGTTCAACTTTTTTCTTTCCCTTTTTTAGTCAAACTTTTCACTGTTCCCTGACATTTCCGTAACTTCACTGACCAGGTAACCCTGACCATGTACCACAGCCGTAGGTTATTACAGGTAACACACACCTGTAAAATACTTTCCTTTTCAGACAAAGTCTATATGATTAATTTTTTTAAGGCATTACAGTTAATTATTTTGTCTCTCAATTTATCTTATTTGTTTTATCTTATATACCTGTAGACGGAGAGGATATGAAGTAGAAGGAACAGAACAGAGGCGATCACGCTGACACACTGGAGTCAACGAGGTGGCAGCGCCTGGGTAGTGTGCACTCGGAAGCCTCACAGCACACTGGCTTGAAGGAGTAGCAGAGACTGAATGCGGAATATTCTCGAGGCTCATCAGACTCGAGGTAGCCATCCTCGCCCTCATGACTACACGACTACATGGCATGAGTCAAAATTCACAGAAACAGTTGTTAACACTATTGTCAGGAGGTGACTACTGACATATCACCAGGTAACTGCTTTGTTAGTAGAGACAGAATGTGCTAGTTGTCTTAAGATGACAGGAGGAGTAAGAACATATTTGAACCTAATACGTGATCCACATTTGTATGATTACTTGACTACATCCACAATCAATGCTTTATAAACAGTTTACTAATTTTCAGTGTTTGTGTGATAATTACCAACAACAAAATCAGTATAAACATCTATATTTTCCTTTATCAATGATTAATAATGTATATCAATAACTTGAACCATAATATTGAAAAAAGTATATATACTCTGCAGCTGGCTATTTCGCTTGGGCGTTACCTGCAAATAAATATCTCTTATGTACAATAAGTTCGCATCAGCCAATATGTCCGCCTGCAATGGTCACAATGATATATGAGTGTAGGATGATTGGAATAAGAAAGAAGATATCATTGCTTTGTCTTTATTGCTATGTAAGAACATAGCTGAATAAATAATTATATCATCTTCAATAAATAATGTGGGTCTGTGAGGAACGCAGTAAACTAGACAAGTGTTTAGTTTGACTCATTGGAGTCATAGTAGCTGCGCCTGGGTGGGGCATATTCCCTAGACTCATCAGACTCGGGGTACTGAGCCTCACCCTCATAGTTGACCTCAGCTACGTAGCCTGAGTCACCATCCACGCGGTAAGTAACCCTCTGCACACGACCGTCGGGAAGGTGCACGTAGTACGACCCCTGGGTGTTGTCGTTGTCGCGGGCCTCCTGGTGGTTGAACTCGTTGCTAGAGGAGTCGTCACTGACGGCCCATTGGAAGTTGTACTTAGCCTCAGTAGACTCAAGCGACTCCGCTGAGTAAGTCTAAGAAGAAAGAAAATGAATTGGTTACTATCTTACGATTAATTAATTATACAATATCATGAGGAAAAATTATTATAATTGGGAGATTAATATTTTCACATATATCATTGGATATATAGTTAAACTATAGACTGGAATGACTCACACGAGGGGCAGCATATGAGAATGTTTCCCGGCTGCGGCTGTCTGCTGCTGCCACAGCTGCCACGGCCAAGACGATCAAGATCTGTCGCCGAGAAATATTAACATGTGTAAGAAAGAGATGTTAAGTATTTTCCTATATTGACCATCACTTTTGTATAAGACAAATTTCACAGATAAACATATGATGGCCACCTTAGTGTTCATGTTGCTTGTAGTGTTGTCAAGACGAGACTACTGATCTCTGCGGTTCCCACCGTTATATACGCAGCTGTCTGGCGGCCAGCCTGGGTCAGGGCCAAGTTTTTGTGCAATGTTGACCAATATTTCTGTAGCAATTTAGCAGTTTTGAAGGTCATATTAACACATGCCTATATATTAATTCTGCGTTCTACTTTCATTATGCAGTGGTCCGTGTGTTTATAAATGCTAGCATATCATTTCATAGTAATCGACTATCAAAAACACAGTAATAAACGTTGTAGAACTGCTTTCTATGAATATTTTTAATTAAAAATTAAATAAGTTGATGAAACGACATTTTTTCAAGTATATAGAAGACATAAGGCACACAGAAGCTTAAACCCATTATGTCCACAGGACCCCGCCTGATTCAGTATTTTTTATCGTCTCGGGGCTCTAAAATAAGGAATGCCATTAATATTGTGAGAGAGAACTTCATAAAAAAAACGATACAGTCTATTTCTATGTTTTACAATACATTGTCAACTTATCAAACAGTCACTTCACTCCTAGATGATTAGGTAAAAAACGTGACCACACACACCTGTCCCACAAGATGAAATACCATCAGTAAGTGACTATGGTTACTTCACCGTTTGTGTCATAGAATGTGGTGGTGGTGACGACATTCATGACAGACAACACCTTATCTTCGGTCGTGAGGTTCCTCAAGCAAGACGCCCTGGCATCTGGCCTTCACAACGCCCCTTTAATAAATTTTCATTAAGTCCCGTTCGGGCGCTTGAGGTTGTTAGTATAATGCGCCTTGGCTTAAAATCTTCAAACATCATTATTCTCATCTACTTTATTCACAATCTTCTATTTTAAGCCATCATTTTACATTCAGCTCATCCAACCATTTTAAATTCAATCAAAATATCAAGTTGGTGTCTTCCTATTGGTAGAATTTACTTAGGTCTTCATTTGACTAATGTTGAATAGTTTATTGTTTCACTATACTCTATGTTTTATCGGCTTTTATTTCTCTTTATTCGTTCTTCTTAATAACTGTTCCTATAATTTGACATTACATTCATTGTTCTGCTATTTTCTTCCTTCATTTTCTACATAATAAATATTTCATTCCAAAGGACTCTCATTAGTCTATAATTTGTTTATTCTTTTGCCAGTCAATCTTTATAACACCACATCACATCCTTGGCAATATGCACTGTCAAATACTTGTATTTTCTTGTAAGTTGTTTTGGATGAATGATCTAGTTTCTCAAAAGATATCCAGTTTGTTTCTTCTGTTATTTTCCAAACCAGTTAACATTAGTTGACACCAATACACGTACAGTGGATGTTACTTTATAGGTCTTACTTCTTGACCTCCGTAGAGTGGCAGTTTCTGTACTGTTTATACATTTACCTTTGTTTATTTTAAAATTAATATTATACTCTTGCTTTCATTATTAAGATTTCCATTTTTAATGTTTCACTTCTTCTTTATCATCGAAGACATATTTAATTTTCATTTACCATAAAACATTTAAATATTCCATAATTTACCATTTGCTCTGTGTTTTACCTACCAGTACATATTTATATTATAATATGGCGTAAGGTGATGCCAAACAATAAATTCACCTGTATTGGTCATTACAAAAAGGATGATCGAAATAAGAAAGAAGATATCATTGCTTTGTCTTTATTGCTATGTAAGAACATAGCTGAATAAATAATTATATCATCTTCAATAAATAATTTGGGTCTGTAAGGAACGCAGTAAACTAGACAAGTGTTTAGTTTGACTCATTGGAGTCATAGTAGCTGCGCCTGGGTGGGGCATATTCCCGAGACTCATCAGACTCGGGGTACTGAGCCTCACCCTCATAGCTGACCTCAGCGACGTAGCCTGAGTCACCATCCACGCGGTAAGTCACCCTTTGCACACGACCGTCGGGAAGGTGCACGTAGTACGACCCCTGGGTGTTGTCGTTGTCGCGGGCCTCCTGGTGGTTGAACTCGTTGCTGGAGGAGTCGTCACTGACGGCCCATTGGAAGTTGTACTTAGCCTCAGTAGACTCAAGGGACTCCGCTGAGTAAGTCTTAAAAATAGAGAAAATGAATTGGTTAATATCTTACAATAAATCAATTATTCAATAGCATGAGGAAAAATTATTTCATTTGGGAGATTAAAATTTTCAGATATAGGGTTAAACTACAGATTATTTCTGAAGAAAACTCATGACTGGAATGACTCACACGAGGGGCAGCATATGAGAAGGTTTCCCGGCTGCGGCTGTCTGCTGCTGCCAGAGCTGCCACGGCCAAAACGATCAAGATCTGTAAAAAGAGAAATATTAACATGTGTAAAAAAAAGATGTTAAGTATTTTGCTATATTGACCATCACTTTTGTGTAAGACAAATTTCACAGATAAACATATGATGGTCACCTTAGTGTTCATGTTGCTTGTAGTGTTGTCAAGACGAGACTACTGATCTTTGCGGCTTCCACCGTTATATACGCAGCTGTCTGTCGGCCAGCCTGGGTCAGGGCCAAGTTTTTGTGTCATGTTGACCAATATTTCTGTAGCAATTTAGCAGAGTTTTGAAGGTCATGTTAACACATACTTCTATACTTATTCATTGTTCTACTTTCATTATGCAGTGATCCGCGTATCTACAAATTGTAGAATATCACTTCATAGTATGGTATTGGGATTTCTATAACATACAGTAATTGGCGCTGTAGAAATGCTTTTTATGAATTTGTTTAATGAAAAGGCACCTAAATTTCTGAAACACCATTTTACTAAGTATATAGAAGGCACAAGACACACACAAGCTTAAACCCATTATGTACACAGGACCTCGCTTCTATTCAATATTTTTATCGTCTCGGGGCTCTAGATTACAGAATACCATTGATATTGCGAGGCATTCTTGACAGATAACTCCTTAATAAATATTCTATAAGTCCCACTCGGACACTTGAAGCTCTTAGTATAATGCGACTTGGCTTAAAATCCTCAAGCATCATGGACAGCTAGATTGATAGATAGAGAGATACTTCGTATCACCATCACTATTCTAATCCAGCACATTCACAGTCATCGTTTTTATACCTCTACTGGAGAATCAGCTCCTCCAAACTTTCTTGTTTTAATCAAAATATCAAGTAATTGGAATTTTCGTTGGTTTTATCGTCTGTCAGTTCTCTTCATTATTTCTTGTTATAACCTTTATTTTAATTTGAGATTACGTCCATCGTTTTACTATTTATCTTCCTTGATGGTATGACTAATAAATAAATAATTTCAAGCGATTCTGATTAGTCTATAATTTGTTTATCCTTTTGTCAGTCAAACTTTATAACACCATAATAATAATGGTCGCCCCTTATGTAAGGAGGATGACCGGCCCAAGGCGTGAATTTGATTGAGGTGTAGAAGTTGTCGCCAACACAACAGCTACACCCTGCGTTAACGAGTTGCATGACCTAGTGTCAAGGAATAGTTCTAGAAGACCGGACAACTCGCCAACTGCTCGGGCTAACTATTACCCCGGAAAACGATCCGCAAATCGATTAACATCCAGGCTCCCAATTACTGCTGGGTAGACAGCAGCAACATGCACTGTAAAATAATTTAATTTTCTTGTAAGTTGTTTTGGATATATGATCTAGTTTCTCAAAAGTTATCCAGTCTGTTTTATTAGTTATTTTTCAAAACAGTAAACATTAGTTGACAACCAATACACGTACAGTGGATGTTACTTTATAGGTCTTACTTCTTGACCTCCGTAGAGTGGCAGTTTCTGTACTGTTTATACATTTACCTTTGTTTATTTTATAATTAATATTATACTCTTGCTTTCAACATTCAACTTTTCATTATCTAAAGTTTCACATCTTCTTTATCCAAAAACATGAGCATAAAACATTTGAATATTCCATAATTTGCCATTTTCTCTGTGTTTTACCTACCAGTAACTATTTATATTATATTATGGTTTAGGTGATGCCAAACAATAAATTCACCTGTATTGGTCATTACAAAAGGATGATCGAAATAAGAAAGAAGATATCATTGCTTTGTCTTTATTGCTATGTAAAAACATAGCTGAATAAATAATTATATCATCTTCAATAAATAATGTGGGTCTGTGAGGAACGCAGTAAACTAGACAAGTGTTTACTTTGACTCATTGGAGTCATAGTAGCTTGGCCTGGGTGGGGCATATTCCCTAGACTCATCAGAGTCGGGGAACTGAGCCACACCCTCGTAACTGACTTCGGCTACGTAGCCTGAGTCACCATCCACGCGGTAAGTAACCTTCTGAACACGACCGTCGGGAAGGTTCACGTAGTACGACCCCTGGGTGTTGTCGTTGTCGCGGGCCTCCTGGTGGTTGAACTCGTTGCTGGAGGAGTCATCACTGATGGCCCATTGGAAGTTGTACTTAGCCTCAGTAGACTCAAGGGACTCCGCTGAGTAAGTCTTAAAAATAGAGAAAATGAATTGGTTAATATCTTACAATAAATCAATTATTCAATAGCATGAGGAAAAATTATTTCAATTGGGAGATTAAAATTTTCAGATATAGGGTTAAACTACAGATTATTTCTGAAGAAAACTCATGACTGGAATGACTCACACGAGGGGCAGCATATGAGAAGGTTTCCCGGCTGCGGCTGTCTGCTGCTGCCAGAGCGGCCATGGCCAAAACGATCAAGATCTGTAAAAAGAGAAATATTAACATGTGTAAAAAAAAGATGTTAAGTATTTTGCTATATTGACCATCACTTTTGTGTAAGACAAATTTCACAGATAAACATATGATGGTCACCTTAGTGTTCATGTTGCTTGTAGTGTTGTCAAGACGAGACTACTGATCTTTGCGGCTTCCACCGTTATATACGCAGCTGTCTGTCGGCCAGCCTGGGTCAGGGCCAAGTTTTTGTGTCATGTTGACCAATATTTCTGTAGCAATTTAGCAGAGTTTTGAAGGTCATGTTAACACATACTTCTATACTTATTCATTGTTCTACTTTCATTATGCAGTGATCCGCGTATCTACAAATTGTAGAATATCACTTCATAGTATGGTATTGGGATTTCTATAACATACAGTAATTGGCGCTGTAGAAATGCTTTTTATGAATTTGTTTAATGAAAAGGCACCTAAATTTCTGAAACACCATTTTACTAAGTATATAGAAGGCACAAGACACACACAAGCTTAAACCCATTATGTACACAGGACCTCGCTTCTATTCAATATTTTTATCGTCTCGGGGCTCTAGATTACAGAATACCATTGATATTGCGAGGCATTCTTGACAGATAACTCCTTAATAAATATTCTATAAGTCCCACTCGGACACTTGAAGCTCTTAGTATAATGCGACTTGGCTTAAAATCCTCAAGCATCATGGACAGCTAGATTGATAGATAGAGAGATACTTCGTATCACCATCACTATTCTAATCCAGCACATTCACAGTCATCGTTTTTATACCTCTACTGGAGATTCAGCTCCTCCAAACTTTCTTGTTTTAATCAAAATATCAAGTAATTGGAATTTTCGTTGGTTTTATCGTCTGTCAGTTCTCTTCATTATTTCTTGTTATAACCTTTATTTTAATTTGAGATTACGTCCATCGTTTTACTATTTATCTTCCTTGATGGTATGACTAATAAATAAATAATTTCAAGCGATTCTGATTAGTCTATAATTTGTTTATCCTTTTGTCAGTCAAACTTTATAACACCATAATAATAATGGTCGCCCCTTATGTAAGGAGGATGACCGGCCCAAGGCGTGAATTTGATTGAGGTGTAGAAGTTGTCGCCAACACAACAGCTACACCCTGCGCAAACGAGTTGCATGACCTAGTGTCAAGGAATAGTTCTAGAAGACCGGACAACTCGCCAACTGCTCTGGCTAACTATTACCCCGGAAAACGATCCGCAAATCGATTAACATCCAGGCTCCCAATTACTGCTGGGTAGACAGCAGCAACATGCACTGTAAAATAATTTAATTTTCTTGTAAGTTGTTTTGGATATATGATCTAGTTTCTCAAAAGTTATCCAGTCTGTTTTATTAGTTATTTTTCAAAACAGTAAACATTAGTTGACAACCAATACACGTACAGTGGATGTTACTTTATAGGTCTTACTTCTTGACCTCCGTAGAGTGGCAGTTTCTGTACTGTTTATACATTTACCTTTGTTTATTTTATAATTAATATTATACTCTTGCTTTCAACATTCAACTTTTCATTATCTAAAGTTTCACATCTTCTTTATCCAAAAACATGAGCATAAAACATTTGAATATTCCATAATTTGCCATTTTCTCTGTGTTTTACCTACCAGTAACTATTTATATTATATTATGGTTTAGGTGATGCCAAACAATAAATTCACCTGTATTGGTCATTACAAAAGGATGATCGAAATAAGAAAGAAGCTATCATTGCTTTGTCTTTATTGCTATGTAAAAACATAGCTGAATAAATATCTATATCATCTTCAATAAATAATGTGGGTCTGTGAGGAACGCAGTAAACTAGACAAGTGTTTACTTTGACTCATTGGAGTCATAGTAGCTTGGCCTGGGTGGTGCATATTCCCTAGACTCATCAGAGTCGGGGAACTGAGCCACACCCTCGTAACTGACTTCGGCTACGTAGCCTGAGTCACCATCCACGCGGTAAGTAACCTTCTGAACACGACCGTCGGGAAGGTTCACGTAGTACGACCCCTGGGTGTTGTCGTTGTCGCGGGCCTCCTGGTGGTTGAACTCGTTGCTGGAGGAGTCATCACTGATGGCCCATTGGAAGTTGTACTTAGCCTCAGTAGACTCAAATGACTCATCTGAGTAAGTCTGAGGACATGGAAATGAATTGGTTAATATTAGCTGATCAATTAGTTCAATTAATAACAATATAAAATTCAAAAGACTTTAGGTTGGAAAATTTTTCAATATTCATGGGTAGAAGAGTTACTCACACGAGGGGCAGCATAAGAGAAGGTTTCTCGGCTGCGGCTGTCTGCTGCTGCCAGAGCTGCCACGGCCAAGACGATCAAGATCTGTAACCGAGAAATATTAACATGTAGTAAATTGATGCTTATATATGGTTTTATACACAGTTCCTATCATGTATAATAAATATCATTCAGATAGTTAGTGTTATAATCACCTTAGTGTTCATGTTGCTTGTTGTATTGTCACGAGGAACTGACTGTCTCTCTCTCTGTAGTACTCACCATTATATACTTGGTGGTGCGGCGGCCCACCGCAGTGGGGGACAAGTTTTTGTCATATTTACCAACGTTTCTCTAACATTCTAATACATGAAGACTCTTGTATCGTTTTCAAGGACGTGTTAAGACATACTTCTATGTGTATGCATGGCTGTACACCTGTTGTGAAAATGTCCTTACGTCTCAATATTTTTTTTATTTACTTTGTACTATTTATTTGTGTGGTAAATTACTACAAATACGTAATCCATATGATAATTTTGTTTAATTGTTTCTAACTGATATAAAGTCATTTCTATTTTATCACGAATTGCTTAAATGATACAAACCTATCAACATTTTACATAGATGAAAGGTAAATTAGAGCAAAATGTAAGTGACATAGTAAGGGTAATCTCATTATACAATTTAAACATTATCTCTAAATTCCCTCCTGCATCTGAAAAAGATAACATCAATGTATGTATGTATGTATGTATGTATGTATGTATGTATGTGTGTATGAATATGACACCATGAACTGAAGTGAACGGCCACTAACCCTCAAAATGGGCAGGTGACAGGTAGTAATAAGGACGTGCTGTACCTGTCCTGCCGCTGAATCAGGTCTTACACTCTTAACTCTTGACTGAAGCAAGACGAGTACTTCATAAGATAGTGTAATAAGTCTATTTGTTTACATTATGTATTACACCTCATCATTATAAATTTTAAAAGATAAGGAATTAAAATTTAACTGATTTACGTCTCTTTTGTCCTGAACTGTATATGATGCAATTATTCACTTACAATACTTAGATAGTCAAAACCGACCCCAAGATCAATCGTAAGTCTAAACTTTTTTTTATCACCTGAAGAACAGCCCCTATGTTCCGTTGTTCCTCAAGGTTCCGTCGTTCCTCAGCTTAAACGGCTTGAAGTTTTACCACACCGAAACTCTCTAGGAGGGGAGCTAATCTTTGGGTGATCCTACTAACACTTTATGATATGCCTTTTCTAAAAAATCCATAATTACAGTAACAATTTCTTTCTCACGTCAATAGATTTTTTTTTAATGTACAAACTTGATCAACATATCATTCATCTTTTCTGAACTTTCATTTCTCTCCTTTTGCTACAATTACTATTATCACAATTTTTTCTGGTATAATTATCATATCAATTCTTACCACTTTTCTGGTAAACATCTGGTACTCTTTTCTTTGTCAGTCATGGTCAGCGTATTCTTATCGTTGTTCTGTCACTGTTCTGTCATCCATCGTCAACATTTCAACAATGATTCCATCCACACTTGGTATAACATCACTTGTATAAAATGATGTTTCCACCTCTCTCTTCATCCTTCTTTGGCCAACTGAGCGCCTCCAAACTTTCAATGTTCAGGGTTATATTTGGTAGTCTTTTTCTCTCCTCCTATATGTCTAGTGTCACGACCCAGGATCACTTTAGGTCATTTTTCTTGCACTGACTGATTCTTACTCCTTGCTGAAATATTTCTCACTCTCGTTTAAGATCCCACTCATTAGTTACCATTCTGGCCTTGTGAGCTATGACAAACACATTCCTTCTATTTTGTGAATAGGTTTACGTTTGTGTAGTTTGGATAGTTAATCCATTTGTTTTTATCCATAAGTTGACACTGGTAGTATGCACGTGTCAAATATTTTTCAATCTTGACAAAAGTATTTATTGTTTTTATCCATTACATTGCATATGGATCACTTGTTAGCTTCATAATTGATTTTTATTTATGTATATTAAACATCTTATGATGAAAAAACAGTCATATGAAGTTTATGTTTCTCATTTGCTTTTGATTAATACTCATTCAATTTTCAGGTATTAGTTTTAGAAAAGTCAGTCTTACTGCAAACGGACAACTACCTTATTCATGCATTTTTGTAGAAGGCGTTGTTATATGTGAGTTCACAATAATTGATGCTGGTTACTATAAATCTGGATAAAGGATAATATTGTAATATCAGAGATATATTTGCCTTCACTTTATTTTCATGGAGTAGAATAAATATTGATAGTGTGTTCAATAAATAAGTGTAACGTGAGGATGAACCAAACTTGCCAGAAAGGGTAACAGAGATGTTTAGTTTGATTCATTGGAGTCATAGTAGCTTGGCCTGGGTGGGGCATATTCCCTAGACTCATCAGAGTCGGGGAACTGAGCCTCACCTTCGTAGCTGACCTCGGCTACGTAGCCTGAGTCACCATCCACGCGGTAAGTAACCTTCTGAACACGACCGTCGGGAAGGTTCACGTAGTACGACCCCTGGGTGTTGTCGTTGTCGCGGGCCTCCTGGTGGTTGAACTCGTTGCTGGAGGAGTCATCACTGATGGCCCATTGGTAGTTGTACTTAGCCTCAGTAGACTCAAGGGACTCCGCTGAGTAAGTCTGAGGATATAGAAAATTATGAAATTAATATTTGCTGACAGGTTCAATCATCTATAATAAGAAATCTTGATAAATTTGAAGCTCATTATTTGGCCATATTTCCATTATTATATTAGTAGAGAACTCCTGACTGGAGTGACTCACACGAGGGGCAGCATAAGAGAAGGTTTCCCGGCTGTGGCTGTCTGCTGCTGACAGAGCTGCCACGGCCAAGACGATCAAGATCTGTAACAGAGAAATATTAATATGCGTAAACAAACTATTACTAATAATTTCATGTTCACCATTGTTTTCATTTCAAACAATTCTTAGAGAGGGAATATCAGGATCACCTTAGTGTTCATGTTGCTTGTTGTGTTGTCACGAGGAACTGACTGTCGACCTCTGGCGCTCGCCATTATATACTGGGTGGTGCGGCGATCCACCTCAATCAGGGACAAGTTTTTTGTTTTATTATACAGTACAACAACGTTTCTCTAACATTCTAATTCTTGAGGACTTTCGTAGGCTTACAAGGTCATGCATGGTAAGGCAAACTGAAGTTGTTTATATATATGTAAATATTATTGCATTAACACTAATGTTTATTCCTTGTGATTAATTGTGCCTCGTGAATTATTTCAAACCTATTTGTAATTGTGTAAATAAAACATAAACAGCAGGTGATGGACCACATACAGTGCAAGTTTCCACCCTGGCTGACACTTTCTCAGAGTACAGCTGGGGCAAACAGGGGGTAAGCTCAAGCGAAAGCCAGACGGAAACAAACTACAGAAGTCAGAGCCGTGAATAATACTTCGTTCCTTACAGGGTCCAAGAGTCTGGGAGGCTGAGGCACCGATGCGTTCCAGAGGGATTGTTTGCTGCGTGCTCGGTTCTTGTCTTTTACCTAAGGAGCTTGATGCAGTCTTCCACTAGTGGTGCCACGAAAAAAAAAAGCGTTCGCGCAATAAATATAAGAAAGCAATTTGTCTGGAACAAAACGTCCCCACACTCGAACATGAAAACTCTAAACTTTACACATAATGACACCTGTCTCATGTTGTCTCTCTTTAATGTGGATAAAGTTGTCCTCAACACCTTGTATTACTTGCCCCTTCTTTTGGAACCTTGAGGAATAATGCTTTAACATCAAACCTTTCACGTTCGAAGGTGAAGAATACAGACAACACAGAGGTCTCGCCACGGGGTCTCTGCTCATCCCTGTTGTGGTTTGCTTCTAAATGGAAAACCTTGAGCGTGACAGGTTAAGCAGGATTATTGAAAGAGATGCGTTAACGACGTGCTGTAGTGGTTCCTGAGAATACAATTTGGAGAGAGATAAAGTAGATATGATATTTAAACACCATCCTATATAAATAAATTAGTGGATGAAGCCATTTGCATCCACACACGTCTGTCTTGAGTCTTCTTTACCCACTAGGGCCTCCGGACATTATAAGTTCGGCATTACGTCCCATAGGTTTTATTCTAAGTACTGTACCTTCATATCTCGTAGGAAGTAGAAAAGAATGTCCTGAGGAAAGAATTGATATAATTTTCTTACTACTGTATAATGTCGACAGAATTGGAACACACTCACAAGGTCTTTATGAATAAGTATTCTTCATTTATCTTCTAATGCCTGAAATATTGTTGACGTTTATATTTTCACCTTTTTATAGGAACTAATGTATTATTAAAATATATTGTGAAGTTTATTTTTTTATTTCAAAGAAATATTTTCTATATCGTTCATAACGTATTGATATTAAGCAGTAGTGTAATAAAACATTATCACCTGAACTTAATATTTTTTTTCTGTTGTTATATTTATATAACAATAAGTTGAGTTTTAACCTTTTATGTAGTATTAGATATGGATGCGACCTTCATCTGACGCACCATAAGGACAAAAGAAAACATGTGATGTGATCCCATCAATTAGCATTGGTAAACATGAAAGCTACAAGAGGATTACGAGATAATAACAGAAAATATCAGTGCTTTGTCTTTATTGCTGTGTATAAATATAGCCCAATAAATATTTACATTATATTCAATAAATAAATAAAGGTCTGTGAGGCTCGCAGTAGAGTTGCCAGGAAGGATATCAGGGAGATGTTTACTTAGACTCATTGGAGTCGAAGTAGCTGCGCCTGGGTGGGGCATATTCCCTAGACTCATCAGACTCGGGGAACTGAGCCTCACCCTCGTAGTTGACCTCAGCTACGTAGCCTGAATCTCCATCCACGCGGTAAGTCACCCTCTGTACACGACCGTCGGGAAGGTGCACGTAATACGACCCCTCGGCATTGTCATTCTCACGGGCCTCCTGGTGGTTGAACTCGTTACGGGATGGGTCGTCACTGACGGCCCATTGGTAGTTGTACTTAGCCTCAGTAGACTCAAATGACTCATCTGAGTAAGCCTGAAGAGATGGAAAATAATAAAATTAGTGTCGGGTATATAAATATTTAATTCAATAATAAGAATGCAGGGATGCTCTGGAAGCTTCATCTGGTTCATGTATCAAGATTATATGAATAAAAAAATCCTATAGGAAACACTCACACGTGGGGCTTGGTAAGAGAAGGTTTCACGGCTGCGGCTGTCTGCTGCTGCCAGGGCTGCCACGCCCAACAAGATCAGGATCTGTATTGTGAGAAATATGTAACAATCATGAGTTTCAATTTAATTTTATTCGAAATTGTTATCTACAGTAGAAAGATAAATCACAGAGAGAGTGGCATTGCCATAGTCACCTTAGTGTTCATGTTGCTTGTAGTGTTGTCACGAGGGAACTGACTGCCCATCTGTCTGGAACTCACAGTTATATACTTGGCGGTGTGGCGGCCCACCTCAATAAGGGACAAGTTTTTCTGTTGTATTTAACACCATTTCTCTCGCATTCTAATTCTAGAGTAGATTTGTGTATGCTTCAAGGTCGTATTAAGACTTTGTTCTACGTTATGATCTAAGTGCATCAGGTCAATCTAGATAATTTATTGATTATGTAAGTATAGGGACTCGGTATTCTCGCCCAATGGACAGGAAGTCAAGGGAGCTTTATTGTACTTTCTTGAGGTGTTTTTATTCAACTGGAAACACCAATTGTTTTAAAATATACAGGAATTAATGATAAAATTTATAGTGATAAACGTAGAACGTGAAAGATTTTGCATATATACTGTACATCCTAAAAGGAACCCTGTTAACGTGGCATCTGCACCCATAAAGCCTCTTAGATCACAGTGCCATCATTCCTCTCTTCCAGCATATTAGCAAACGAACTGGTTAGGGGGTTCGTTCCAGAACACCTGAGAGCGTTGGTAGGGGTGAACGACTTTAGTTTCAGGGACGTAGATATTTATGCGGGACCATCACATCAGAAGCAACTCGACCATCAAACCTAAAGACCAGCAAATAAACCCACTGGTACAAGTTCTCTAGGTAGGTGATGACCTCAGGTATACTCGAGAAGCATCAGAAGACCTGGAGAGGACTCGTGTGTGGGCAATGAGTGTCCCTTATACTGGATTCTTCCTCCTTCCTACCAACTCTTCTTCGATCATCACTTGCTCCATGCTGGGATAGTACTTAGTCGAGTAGCCCCAATCTACGTTGTTTACAAGTGTATCTGTGGCAATGAGTAGCATGACCAACCTGGCAACCACGCATTCTCCACTGGGGGCTTTGGCCTGCAAGAGAATGAAATTATTGACATTACCAAACAGTGTTACTAGTTCACAGGGACCCAATTGTCTATAGATCAGACAAAAATTGCTTGATATTGTTTACTTGTTTTTCATTCTGTGATTCTAATTAACCTAAATACGTCTACTCCATGACTCCTTAGGCCTTTGAATGGTTGACATCTATTTATAAAGATTTGAGAATTTCTTGAACATCTTTCTTATTTCCTTTATATACTGGGTGGTGCGGCGATCCACCTCAATCAGGGACAAGTTTTTCCTTTGCTCTACCAATGTTTCGGTAATACCCAATTACCTAATGAATATTATAGATATTTGAAGTTCATTTTACGAAACATTCATATATTTTACACGTGTACAGTTTTATATGTAATGTGAAATTGTCAGTATATTTAAAAAAAAAAAAAAAAAATATCGAATGTGTCACTATGGTAACATTTTTGAAGTTTGAAAAGTGACAGTACTTAAACATATATCTATATGCTTCCTATGTAATTCAGAAGGCACAGGCTAAGAGTAAGTTACAGGACTGTATATACACGCGTCAGACACCCATATGAACGCCTACTCACCTCTGATTGCTCCGCCCGACTCCCTGCTGGCCTATGGTATGACAGGTACGTGGTGTCAGTACTGGGCTCACTCCTTACTGTCATAATCTTTGCGCCATTTTGAACATCTTGATCATATCCTCACATTGTCTGCGGTACATCATCGCTTGAACCATTGCCTTCCTCACGTGGTATTCATAGCTCAAGCTCCTCAGCCCGGTTACCTGTTTTGTTGCTTGTCACGTATAACGCTCGAACGCTTGGGTGACATTCATCCTGTGGGAATTGCATGCTGCATAGGTGGACCAGGCACTAGCGTGGCTAGGGGGCGGCACTTTTGGGTCTGCTCATCACCCATATCTGCAGCTACTGGAGACGTTAATCCTTCCCTTTGTATCGGCGGCAAGTTAATCCTTGTCGTGTCTGACCTAACACCTGACCCACATCATCACGGCCACGTCATGAGCTACGTACACCCTTGCTATGCGCCCCCCCCCCCACACACACAACCTGTAACCTGTTGAGGATTAAGGAAACAACTTCAAACAAGTACGCCAGTGAGCTCATGTGGTGTGGGTCAGGTGTTAGGTCAGACACGACGAGGATTAACTTGCCGCCGATACAAAGGGAAGAATTAACGTCTCCAGTAGCTGCAAAACCATGCAGTCTCGGGTCATATCAGTTCATGTACAGCCGACCAATCCACCAGTTACAAGCAATTCACTTCAGTTCTGCACAAGTCTCCATCGTGACAAGACGAGTGAGTCACTGTGCAATATGTATTTTTTGTGGGGGCACGGGGGGGCGGCAAACTCAAGGGCCCAAGTGCACACACTCTAACTACGCCACTGGGACCAGGTATTTGTGCAGTCAGCTAATGTGTGTTTTTTATCTATATAAGTAAAAAAAATGCTCTCTAAACTCGTCAATTGATTCATCTTGTTACACGATCTTCAGGAGAACATTCCCTCTCTATCGTCAAGCACAAGTCCGTTTTAACACACATTTCTCACTTCCTTCTACGGCTTCTGTCCTCTGTCCTATAAGTATCCATCACCTTATATTATTATCGGTAAAAACGGAGTAACTATTCATGTTGTCATATCTAGAAGTGGTTTAAAAATCTTCTTGAACCTGAATTTAGTTTTTATGAGATCGAACAGTAAATATCAAGTAGTGAAGACACACAATCAGTATATATTGAATAGGAATGAACCAAAGTAACCACCTTGCGGGAAGCCACTTAACGCAACAGCCCAGTCTAATCTGAATCCCATTTACATAAATTTTTTACCAACATGTAAGATGATCGACGTAATAAAGACCATTAATATACTTCTTTCCTTAACATGGCATATTTAATATATAATCAGAACGGGGAATATACCACCCTGGATCTATATAACCTTAATATACCTTTTCTTCTGAATTATTGGCCTCATATAGTGTTAAAAATTCCACCCTATAAGTTCTGTCATTATCCAAATATGTCTCTGTGGACGACTAGGGAAGACTTCAGTTGATATAAGAAGTTCTTCCTCAATATCACAGCATAGTTTTTTAATGGCATCTCAAAAAACCTGTTGGTTTTAGTTGGTATTTACTAAGCATCAAGGTTAGTGGGTCAGACGTGGTTTAATAGGTCTTGGGGCTGTTGGGCTGATGTTTTATACCTTGATTCAATCCTGGTTGGTGAAGGATGTCTTCTTCGTGATGATTGGGGGAGTCTCGCTATTTATCATCATAGTGGAGTTCTTTCGTGGGTGTGGTGAGTGTGGTGTGGGTATGGTGAGAAGTGGTGTAGGTGTGGTGAGGTATTGTGTGGGTGTAGCATGGGTGTGGTGAGGTATGGTGTGGGTGTGGTGAGAGGTGGTGTGGGCGTAGTGAAGTATTGTATGGGTGTGGTGAGGTGTGGGTGTGGTGAACTGTGGTGTGGGTGTGGTGATCTTCTTATGAACTTTACAAATCACTTACACTCTTTCTCAACACACCATAACTTGTGAAATGTGCACCTCACTGGTCGAAAGTTTGTTCTCCGTTTTCTCGTGTTCTGTACACTAAGTCAAAGGTCGATATTTGTGTTATGGCTTATGAGATTATTCACATAAATCTGTATTGTTTAAGCATGAATCTTGTGTAATAAATAATAATGCTTTAGATCTCAAGAAAATTATATGTCTGTCAGTTTTACATAACTTACGAGATTATATGTCATAAGTCTCATTTTTTTCCCCTATGAGGACACATAAAAGTGAAAGTGGGGACACCATCACTTAACCAACTGTAAAATTTGGTACCAATTTGCATCTGGGTGACCCAAGGGTGCCCCGGGTAAGAACCAGCGACCCTTAGGACGGGAGGTGAGCGTTGTATCCAGTGCAGATCTACTGATAAGAGACGACTGTTGATATATAGTACACAGAAGGTGAATAACCCTCATAAAGTAACGTATAATAGTGATTGTTGATATTAAACACCCATACATAGTCTTATAATTCATCATTATCTCTAACATTTTCATGAAACATTGTTGACTCACCATTTGGCAAATAGTTCACATAAAATGCAAACAGTAATGACTTATATTGTTGTGATAAGTGAGAGAGGAAAAAGACAAAGAAATATTGACTGTGAACACGCGCCATATCGTACTTAATGACTCATAGTTTCTCGTGACAAGAGTAACATCAAATGGTCTACTTATGCCATCTCCTACACGCCATTGGTAAACTAAAACACGAATACCATTACTAAGGAACAGACACAACTCTAATCTAAGTTATTTTGAAATGATAAATATAAATGAAATAAATGGAATAATATCCAGGATCATTGTACATTATTATCACATCATTTCTACAATAACAGGTAATAAATACAGGTACAGGTAATTACACTACATATAACCACGTCATCTCAGCCACAACAGGACACTACACAAGGTAACAAACACTCCTCATGCTCTCTGTACTGTATGTTACGTTACACCATCCTGTCTACCATATTAAGTTCATTGACATCTGTGTTGCTTTATTTGGTACCGTATCAGAGCCGAGGCACGTGCTGTGGGTGTGGCGGCAACACACACACACCCGGTAAACTTGTTTTTATGTCTCCCGTGTAATAATCATCGCTGTTGTTGTATACGTAAAAAAAAATTAATTCCGTAGTAATTCGTTTTCTGTTAATAGGTAAATAGTTAATATGATTTCTTAATGCAGTTAATCCTTTCTCACTTATAAGTTCCTTAGGCTTTTGTAATAATAGATATAATTTGAAGTGATGCTTAATATAATAAAATACATAGGTTTAATGTTGTATTTTTAGTCTATATATTAAGTTTATACTATACGTGCATATACCGCAGTCAATATTAGGTTAATCAATTCGTGTATTTCCTACTTTGCGAATTTTTCAACAATGTTTTGAAAATAATAAGATCCTGTAGTGTTTAGTTTACGAGTAATGTTTATGTTTACCTTTAGTGAGCTTGAACGGGAGCAATAGCACGTCGACGCCCCCTGTCTCGGGACTTCACCTTCAGGTACACTTATTGCTCCTCCTCCTCCTCCTCCTCCTCCTGGGATTAACAGGATTTGTGGGATCAGCAGCAGGACCTTGACTGTTACAGGAAGATGAGTTTATGAAGACAATGTCAAGTAAACAGGCTGGGAGGTGAGTGTTGGGTGAGAGAGACAAGGATACATTCATTATCCTTCGTTTGATTACATTATGCAGCCCAGGATGGTGAAGGTGATACTAGTGGGGGTCAACGAATCTATTATTTAGCAGAGGAAGGAAGGAAGGACATATTACGACCTTCTATCTAAAACACAAGACATTACGTAACTCACGACAACGAAAACACCCATAGGTCGTTTAAGGTACAGCTTCCTAACGACCCTCTGCAGGCCATGACTTACAACGTTTATGGTGACTCAGATAGGAGGTTCAATGCCCTGAGTCTAACCACAACACTTACTTCTGGCGAGCATTATCAGTATAAGTCAACTTGTCCCTCCCACCACCCAGGAACAAGTACCCCGTTCCATCACAAAAAACAAAAAATCATTAGGCTCCAGTGCACACAAAACTACCACAAAGACATTACAAAAACAACGGAATCTGAGATATTTATTACAGTCAACCTTCTTAATGACAATACCTCCAGTTAAGTCTCCTGGAACTATTAATAAGTGTAGCTAAAAAGAGTCACTGGTCGGGTTCAGAGTCAAGGTCAGCAGTATACATCACCACAGCTGACCTCATGAGGGGCAGAGGCTGTCACAAGGAGATATAGACAGGTGAATGTGTCTATCTGTCAAGAGTAACACGCTCCTCGGGTGGCGTGACCTTATCAATCGAGGCAACCAGGCGAATGAGATCATGTTGAAATCCACTTGCAAGGTGGTCACCCCCTGGCACAGCTAAACCAGTGGGAGGTACAACTTTTCTCGCTGGGCTTGCCAATACCTGGGTGCTGTTGCAAAATAGTTTATACTGATACTCAGATTATCCACCACGGCAGCTGACTCATTATCAAAACACAATCAGACATTCTCGAACAGGATGAAGGTGATCCGGGAATCCAATTAAAAGACAACTTAAAAACTACGTGAATACTCGTAAACAGTGAAATTATTTATCTTGCTCGCCACAGCCACACAATCCTAACCTATTCTACTTCCGACCAACCCAACCTAAACTAGCCCACTCTTAACCAAACCAACACCTAGTCTGACTCACTTCTCGATGTTAATATATAAATTCGAATCCGGTTCCGGGTCAGGGTTCTAAAAGTAGTTGAACTCCTCATTATCCTATATAAGACCAGTTGGGTGGGCAAACGAGTCCGAGCAGCCAACTCTGTTGCAGAAAATGTACCGTCATGGAATATTTTATCAGATTGAGGTGATCCGACACTATCCAGGTTATCTCGAGTCGTGTTCAAAGACTTTCGAGCTAATATGAGCATTGATTTAATGAACTAATGAACACAGGGAACAAACTGAGAACTTAATCAATGCTTATAAACTTCTCACCATAAGGGTTTCTTTCATTGTTTTAATCTTTCTTTTGTTTATCTTTTATTATACTTTTGTTTT